ACAGCAGTATTATTTAATTTCCCAGACCCAGCAGAAGATGAATTCCACCTGACCACCTCCCAAATCATTCAGCATAAAAAGTATCATTGACATTTTTATCATAATACCTCAAGTCATTTTCTGTGTATTAATTCTAGTGTAGGAGGTATTGCCATAGGTCATGTGCCCTGGATACCATGAAGTGAGATATAAATAAATGCAAAAAAAATAGCAAGTATTCTATTTCAATAGAACTGTTTGCAGAGATCAGTAATCCACGAGGAAATAGAGCTTTTAATTCTAAAGTTCCAGTCAAATTTCAATAGTGTATAAGCTTTATGAAAACAGGGAACCTGACTAGATAAATATACCCCAAAAGATACTTTTACTACCTCAAGCCATGGTTGACACATAGTGGGTTTTTGGTATGCATTTCCAGAATCAATTATGATTTTAGTGTTTTACCCACCTGAAAGTCTGTTCTGTGGTTTTATTTAAACTGGTTGCCAGCATGGAATGACTTCTGCATTCTCTCCTGGAAGTGGGTGAATTTCCATGGTGAGCAATTCCTCTATATACAGTTTGCAAATCATTTTGGGAACCTTCCAAATGAAAGGCACTGTATAAATATACCCTCCCACCAGCAGCCAGCCGGCTTTCCACCGGGGATGCATTTGCATCACTTATGTACATAGTGTTTCATTTGGGGCATTGCTTTTATTTTTATGACCATAAAAGAAATATTCACAGTATGAACAATAATGTAAACTGCATTCAAGAAGATATATATTTGTATATTTTTATGATTCAAAACAGAAATCTGAAAGAAAAGCAGGCATGGCATTTTTCTTTCCTGTTGCTGTTTGCTTTTCATAGCATTCTTTATTATTTCTGAACTTTATGGTGGAATTTTGCTGAAATGCTGAAGTCTTTGTCTGTACCTCATTTAAGACTACGTGGTGGTGGGTTCAAATGAATGTTGCTGGCAAAAGACTTGAAAATGAAGGGCACTTGATTTTACATTTATTCATGTCTGTAATAATAGTTTACTTTACCGTGCTTTTTTGTGCGTGGAGGCCTCTTCAAGAATAAAAAGAGAAAAGGATGAAACCTCAGGTGTAAAGTACCTTCTAAGTAACTTAGCATGATAATGGTGACTTTCCCAGATGGGAGAGACTTTGAAGACATGTATTTTAGTCTTCCTAACAGCATTACTGGGGAATTAGATTTTGAATTCATATCATACAGAAAAAGCTTACTGAGATTTGGAAATAAATTGCCAAAGTTAAATAAAAATCTCTGCAAATTGAGTATTTGTTTACATAGAATTACCTACATACAAAAATGAATTGAATTATAACTTAATTTATACATCACCATAATTAATTAAATTGAAACTGAGTGAAATAACCCACTCCAAACATACTTCTAGGCTTGAGGAGCTACTCTGAACATTCAGAGTAATTTTGTATAATAAAAAAAACCAAAAAAGTAGGCTAAATAAAACTCTTCCACTGAGGAATGATGGGAAGCTCGGGAAATTACACTTCAGCGACTAATAGTTAAGGTAGAATCAATAAGAATTTGAGTTTTTTTCCTCTGCTCACAGTTCTCTTCCATAGACACTAAGCTTTGTGTTTCTTCATTTATTACCATTACAAAACTGAATGTGATTTTTTTTAAAGCACAGCTATAATATAGTAGTATTAGGAAGCAGCTCACTCAGTTTATTTTATAACATACAAAGTAGATTTTACTGTATTCGCCTCAGCCACAATACTAATAATTCTAGTAATACCAAACTTTTTATTAATCTTATATAAAATATCTTTACGCTCTTCTTTATTATTGGAAGAATAGAACAGTAGTTTCTTCGACCAAGTACTACAAGCCTGGATTGATCTGCAGCCAGTTTTTACTACAAACCCCATAATGCTTTGCATTATAGACTACAATCCCCATACTGCAGCACCAAACTTACTGTTAACTATCCTGTTACTGGCAAAGAAAAGAACATTTGAGAACCATGTAAGACGCGAGGATCCCACTTGAAGAGACAGTTCATTTTATCCGTGTTTCAAGATTAACTTGCCACTTCGTTTGCTAAAATAAAATCACCCTGTGGTTATGCACGGTGTTACCTCATTCTGATTATAATGGGATGTGTTCTCAAACAATGTGTCAAGGTATATGCTCCTCATGTCAAAACACCTTTGAGATGAACTATCTTAATATATTACCAAGGCTAGCTTTGAACTTAGTGTATAGCCCAGGCTATTTAGGAATTTTTATCCTCCTGCCTCAGCCTCCTGAGTGCTGAAGTTTCAGGCATGTGCCACCACCTCTGACTCAAATCCTTCTTTACAACACCCATCATAGGTCCAGCAGCTTTTAAATCTCCATGTGCAGAGAGGTCAGCTTTTTCCAGATTTTAAAATAAAATCACAATACATTGTTTAATGCTTCAAACATCTGCAAATTCAGTGAAGTAATTAAATTTCTTAATTAGATACACCTTGCAGCTGCTGTTAGACTTAATTGGCAATAATGCAGCTACATTTTGTTCTGACACATATCTTCAGAAGAGCTAGAAAGAGAAATGAAGGGAGGCAAGAGGAAAATGTTCCCACACAGTTCAAGACAGTTCGCACAAAGAGGATCCCATGGCAACAAACAGTGAGGCCCACAGTTGGCTCTGTAGGATCCAGGAATAGACAATGCTTCACCTCGAATTCAAACAAACATTTCCCTTCCTGGATTCGAAGAGGAAGCTTTTGAAATCATCCCTTTCGGAAGGATCGAAACAGTCCAGTGTTCACCTGTGTCTGTAAGGCGCTTCCAGGTGTTTTCTGCAACCCTTGCCAAGGTAATAATTTCAACTCCTGCTTTGTGTAGGAAACAAAGTGATTTGCAGAAAGGTTTGAAACAATAGGATGTGTATGTTCTCTCATACTGAGCTGGATCATACCTTGGCAACTTTACAGACAAAGAAACTGATATCAAGAAAAATTAGTGATTCAGGGCATAGTTATACCTAGTCAGGAATAGAAAGTCAGCTCAGATCTGAGCCAATAATCCAGGACGTTTACTTCTAAACTTTGAAACAACTACATTTGCTAATTTTACCTTCAACAGTCTGCTCCAGGTCTTGAGGTCTAGTTTTCAGTAAGTGGGTCAGCAAAAGGACTGTGCTACAAAGTGTAGCAAATACGGATCACTCCCTAAGAGAGAGGGGCAGAATATATTTCCCTGGTCACATCTGATCTTTAGATTATTCTGAATTGCAGAATGTGTGAAGAAGAAATGGGGGAAAACAGAGTCATATGTACAACCAGAGGTTAACCTGGGTGAGTTCACTTCAGAGAAATCATATATCTCTTGACTATGCCTTCAAACTTTAGCACACCTTCCTTGCCTTGGTTTAGATGTTCAATTTAAAGGTCATGCCATCAAAATACAGATTTATCTCCCGTTTTAGTCTCCTGGCCCCCAATCATCCTCACCTGTGCCATGACTTAGCTTCGCTTCCATTAATTTCCCTGGCATTTTATCTAATTTTTGAAAGTGTTTCATTTACCTCCGATTTGTGCTTTGTTCCCTAGATAAAATGAAGGTAAAGTTCTTAAGATACAAGGTTGCTTTGCCTATTTATTCTTTTATCTTCTGTTTAACCTGATAAGGTTTCCAGCTTAAAAGCTAGAGGAAAACACTGGAGAGTGGGTTAAGGTTTTCATAGTTGGCACTGCAAGTAGTGTATGGAAAACACTGAAGTGTGAGGAAGAGAGGATGGGGTGGTGACAGAAAACCTTTCATCTGTCCATCCTGCCCTGTTTGCTCCACTGTCATAACCCAACACTGTGGTAGCAGTGTAAATACTTACAGTTTCCTAGGGTCTTACATTCTAAGTGTGCTAAGTAGTTCTACACCATCATTCTAGTCCATGGACCAGCTTTCTAGAGACTCTCAGGCTTCACTCTAGATCTATGGAATCACAATCTGCATACATTAACGTTTGAGAAGCAGAACTGTGTGTATTTTACCGTTCCAAGGTAAAAGGGCAAGGAACTTTAAAGTGAGCAATAATCCTAATTTATCTCTTTCTCATCATAAATCCATTTCAGAAAACCTCAGTTAACTCATGATGAATGGAAATATTTTCTGTTTAGGGATAGGATTTTCTTCATTTCCTTCCTTTCAGCCTCTCTTCATTCTCTTCTAGTCCTCTCTCCCCAGTCTTCTTTCCCCACCCTCTCCCCCTCCTCTCTCCTTCTGTTAGCAGGGATCCCACCACCTCCATTCTTTTCAAAAACCCCACAGTGTCTGGGAAGATTTTGCTCCTCCCCAAATTGAGGGAGCTCCTGCTGGGAGGGTAACTGCCTGAAGTGCTCCCAGTTAACATACCAATAGAGACAGAAGCAGTTTGCAAAACTGCTCTTAAAAAAGACTGCCACCTTGCAACTTGAGACTTGGAGAGTGTTCCCATGCCTCTCCCTTTTGAAATGTCTAAATGAGATCTAGATGGAAAAAGAGGGAAAGAGGGAGAAAGGAAAGGAGGGAGAGACAGAAAGGGAGAAAGGGAGCGAGGGAGCGAGAGAGGGAGGGAGGGAGGAGGGAGGAGAGGGAGGGAGGGAGAGAGAGAGAGAGAGAGAGAGAGAGAGAGAGAGATCTGTTTCAAAGAGAAGAGATGAAAAGGAGGTTATGAGTGTGTCAGGCTCGGCATTGCTCTCTGTACCTTTCTGCTGCCTAGAGAAATGTAACCATAACTCTGAGGTGGATAACGCAAGCCTGGGTAAGCATCCAATTAGCAAGGCCTCTTTTGACTGGAAGGACAGATTCCCGTTATTCCTCTCAGGGTCTTTTCCAAAAGATTCCCAGGCTACCATCCTTCCTCTTCGGGTCTTCTGAAAACTAAAACTCGCAAAGCGGTGGCTGTCTGTGGATTGGCTAGTTCTAAAATATCCATTGGGTGGCAGTAATACTATCCTCTTTATGACTTGCAGCAAACCAGAGAATGCATTCAATCAAATGAACCGATCTTGTAGAAACACTGGAATCATTTATGCATTGCAGTTTCTCTTTCTTGTTTTCACTCCTTCTTCCCTGGGATATTTTGAGTGGATTCTGGCTATTAATCAAGATCTGGTGCTATTCTTGGTTTGCTTGTCGGTTTCGCTCGGGATTAGCATCATTCAAGATAAACGCAAAGCCGCTTCCACCCCAACCCACTCTTTTGAAAAATCATTTTTGGGGTCTGCTGAAGAGAGCTAGGACCCAGGAGACACCTTCCAAAACAGCAGGGGTTGTGTGCTTTCACATAGCAGTACTGTACAAGGAAAACCCCGTCGGATCTGTTATTGCGGGATACTTGTGAAATATACATAGGATTCTTTCTTATGGCTGCATCCCGGATCTGGAAATTTTACTTGGGGACTAGGAAGATTTGAAAGGCTACATGTATCCTGAAGATTTTCAAGCAAGACTCCGATTCCTGTCATAGAGCTAACAGACTTCCTCACTTATCGTCCGTTTCCTTCCTTCTTAAAAAAAAAAAAAAAAAAGCAAACAAATTAAAAAAAATTTTTTTCTCCCTTTTTTTCTGATCTCTCCTCCCTCAGCATCTCCTTTTCTATCTGCCGCTTCTTTTTTTCATCCTAGTCTTTTTTTTTTTTTCCCTGCTCTGCACCTGGATTGTATCTTCACCAAACAATCGGGCACTTTGAGAACTAACTGGAGACAGTCTTGTAGGGAAGATCTGTATGGAATTATCAGCTTTTATGGTGAACTTGGCATTTGTGAATGGGTACCTTGTTCACGATATTAATTGCTAGCAAAAACAAGAAAAAGAACACAGGAGTAAAACGTGGATTTTTCTGAATACGCATTGTGATGACCAGCAATTACCTTACTGACTGATATCCAGAGGAGAATAATTTGGAAGACTGTTGTGGGTAAGGTCATTTTTATATGCAGACCGATCAGTAGCGTGAGCAAACTTGGGCGTTTGTAATGAGAGTGGGTGACTTGGATGATTGCTGCATCGCATTGATGGCTGTGATGTGGCCGTTATTGGCACTGAATGGAATAACTGCAGTTGGGTGTGTTGGTGTGTGTGCGTGTGCGTGTGTGTATGTGTGCCTGCATTCCGAGTATGACTGAAAATAAATCAAAGCATCACTCTCCCCTTTATTATTTTGATATGGAAGAGTATCTTGGATTAATTCTGGATAGACACTCTTTGTTTGGATGCAATATTTGTGGCTCCTGCGTTCTGAAGGGATAGTAGCGGTAAACGGAGCACTTACTGAAGAGCCCCATTTAAAATGAAATGAGCTACTCTTTATTCTTAAAAATAAATATGTTTTCAACTCAGTGCAGCATTCTGCTGCAATTCCCAGCCGCAATGGGACTAAGGATATCCCACTTGTCAAGTTCCTAAACTTTAAGGTGATAATCATTGTTAATTGCTCTCTAGATTATGGTTATTGGAGATTATTAAGTGCCCTGGACTACTTTTCTATGTATTGGATTATCACCTAGAGTGAAAAAGAAAAGGAAACACTGAAAATGATGAGTAAAATAAAGAATAGAGAAATTTTATCTTAAGCATCATCAGAGTGCTTTCTTTCTTAAGTTCAATTGCTCAATAAAATAATTATTTAACCAATACCCTAAAAAGCTGGTGCTAGGACCCACGTGCAGGGAAGTCGAAGGTCTGGAAGTGGTGATGATTCTTTTATTCCAATGCAGCCAGCTTGGGAAATGCAGGCAATTACGCACCTCTCTTAACCTTAAGTTGAAGATGTGTCCTATCTGTTATTTGACCATTTTGGTAAAAAGTTAGTGACTCCAGCACTAAGGATTCTTAAGCATATTCTGCCTGGGAAATGGGATAAAAAAATCGATATTGATGACGTGGTTCAGTGCACTGTACTGCAATGCTAAAGTCCCATATTCAGTACCTATGATGAGAGAATGGAGCATTTGCATGTGTTCTAAATCTCACCTGGTAGATTGATCTGAAGGGGAGGGGAGAAGATATGTGGATATGTAGGAAAATGGATGGAAGTCGTGCATAATCGGTGATTATGTAACTTCATTACATCAGTGAGCTTCAGTCAACGATAGTGAGATGGAATGATTGTATAGAGAGAGCCTCCATCACCCTGTTAACTTTTGAAGGCTTGTAACAGCTAACCAAACAGGAGAGCAGGCAGAGATTAGCTCCAAGGGTCCTGTAAACCTTGATCTCTGCGGTGAATTTAACATGAGTTTTCTCACAGCGAGTTTCTGAGGGATAGAAGATCATGTAGGCTTTAGGGCTGGACGAGGGCAATTTTAGCCACACCCGTGGAGACTCAAAATGTGCCTGGGATATTTCACAAGTGCCCCATTGAGGATTTGGGGCTGCTGATTCCAGCCAAGGTCATAGTTCTTTTCCCTATGGTTGAAATATGTGACCTCCACTGAGTGGAAAGTTAAATCCAGTGAAATGACTGAGACACTGAAAGAATGACTATTTAGTGTCCTCTCTTGCATTTCTCTTGGTAGAGCTTGATGCAGATTTCAGTCTCATAAAAAATGATGAGTGCCTCCACGGTGTGTCAGAAATGAGTGCTTCTTACCTTTATCTTTGCCATGACAACCTCTTTCTGGGCCATTTTAACCCTCAGGGAAGAGAGAAATAAAAATCTTTAAGGGTAACAACGTACTGTTATATTTACAACAACCACCACCACAGCAGTGGTTTCGAATTCATTATTAACACAAATCCTAGAAATAAGGAGCAATTTATTTTGAAGTTTTACTTAATGAATGCCTTAAAAGACATGTTGCAGTCGCTGGAGACTTCCAGCATGAGATGAGATGAATGCGCTGTGCTCACTGTACAGGGGAGGGAATACTGCAGAATAAAATGCCATTTCCCTCTTGCTTTATTTGGAGATGTGTGTTTTTGAAGCAGATGCACATCAGCTACTTTTTTAGGATTCCCCCCCTCAAATCATATATTCACACAAAAATGGAACCTGCTGACATTCTAACCCCGGCCGTTTGAGTCTCATCTGGTTGTGCTATTTCCCATTTTTATTTGCGTTTATTTTACAAAGAGGTAAAAGACTTTTCTGTCAGGTGGTTGAGATGATTCTTTCTGCTTTTGTTCGATTTCTCATATTTCATTTGCACCAAGTCCTGTGGAGTCAGGTGTAGAATCTGGAGACTCACTAAGTAACTTTGAAAAGATTTGCTCACCTCAAATCAGGATGGTTGACTGTGGAATGAAATTCTGAGGTCTGCTATTTGATGTGACTTCCTTATTTCTACAGGACATGCCCAAACATTGATATATTGTGCTAGTGGATTTGGAGGTTTGGTGCTCATATTGTGTAGGAAATTGAATGTGAAGTTAACTCCTGATTCCTTCCTTCAGGGGTCAGGGTAACATAACACTACGGCTGCTTCCAGGATGTTAGTCTCTAACTATGTGCAGAAATACACTCTGCAATGATTTTTTTTTCCTATATCCTTTATTTTCTTATTGTGCAAATGACTTCCTCAGTTATTTTTCCACTTAAGCTCCACATATGTTACCAAATAGGGTATCTACTGGAGGTTTTGTGATCTTAATAGAGGATGGAAATGACAATAAAAAGGCAAAAAGTCTGTTGAAATAGACAGTGTAAAACAAATACATATATGTAATTGCTATCCATTTGCTAAAGACTTCATATACTCACATTAGGATAAGTTCTTTCAGTCATTTTAATGACTACTTATAACCTGTTACTTACTTTAGGAAGAAGATTATATAATGAAGGCACTTTATGATATTTATCTTAAGTAGCATACAAATCCATAATACAAAGCTTTGCTTAATAGGAAAACACTTAAATAAGAAGATAGTGAGTAGCATAAAATATAATATGTATTCTTATTCATTATTGCTGTTTTATAGCCCAAGTTACACACTTACTTATAAAATATTTGGGAGAAGGAAATACCATTTATGATATGAATATGGAAGCTATTGATTTTGTTTCCTAATTAGTTACTTCATTAAGATGGGGAAATTTATCAAATAGATTATCACAATATTCCTTTAAGTAGATACAATTTTAAGTGAAAATTTTATGGCAGTGTATATGAATAAATCAATATTATTTTTAAAAACACTAATATATAAAGCAGTAAAGCATTTTTGAGAACAACTGAACTTTGAAGATTAAGGTTTTCATTTTGGAATCTTTTAGTCTGCCATAATTTGAAATGTTTGGTGTATACTTTTTCTCACAATGGATATAATCTTCACATTTGAGAAATCTCAGGTCTTCATAAACAAGACTATTCTGCAGTTTGTAGTAGCCAGAGAAGTGTTGATTAGTAAGATTTAGAAGTAGTTAGTTTTCTGGTAATGCTTGAGTTCTAAAGCATAATTAGAGTGGCACCATTTGGGCAGCTATAGATAAAGTTTTGTCAGCATTTTTGTTATTAAATTCCAATTCTATTTCCATTAGTCATATCAGGAATCTCAAACAGGAAGGAATCCAGCTTTCTCAGACATTAAGGCACTGTAGGATTCTGGGCTGACTTAGATTCCCTGATTATACTTCAGGCTCTGTTAGGACACTTGTGACCTTTAACTCTGCATTTGACCTGTCAGAGTTCCAGAGAGCCATTCAAAATATAATTGTTACATGCTAACCTGAAGAAAGGGGACAGTGTGCTTGTCAGCATGCTATGCATTGGAAACATATGAACTTATTGTGAATGAATCCCTTAAGTCATGAATTTTACAGAGTATTTTCTTAGGTCCTAATTGTAAATCTTTATAGATTATATCTAATATCCATTACAGCTAACTGGGTAGGTAATATTCGGAGATTACACCACATAGATGTATTAAAAGCGTCAGTTACTAGATTTCACTCACCACTGTTTTTTTTTTTTCAGGAGTACGCATATGGGAATATAGTTGTCTTAGGTAAATTAAAAAAAATAGTTGCTTTTGAATAGCATTTAAAAAATGGCAACTACGGATTTTGTTTGAATGCTTTAAAAAAAATAGTTTTTGTTTTCCATTAATGCCTCTTTAGTCTTTAGGACTTTCTCCTTATTGTAAGAGGAATACACAAATAAATGTTCACAAACAAATGTATTACCACATGGATTGATTCAAATGACCAGAAAGCTGCTCTCAAGTGTCACTTTATTTACCAAAGTACAATATGTTTGATTACCTGGAGTAACAGAGGATGAGAATATAAACACACCAGTACTGTTTGAAATTTTCTAGTTGCAATAATTACTAACGTTCTTTAGGGGGAGGCAATCCCCCGTGTGTCACTACCAGAGCTGCATTTCTTTAATGCTTGTATCTTAATATAAATGTATTCACATGCATGAGAAGGACATAGTTCCTCATCTGAGCTTGTATGTATGATTTAAGTGGATGGCTAAATAGGGTAAGAATTAAGGTTTCATATTTTGGTTACGATAGAACTGCAAACAGTAAAATGAACTCTGTAAAAAATAAATAAATGTACGTGAACTTCAAGAACTTTATTTCCCAGTCTCTTGCTTTGTATGTTAAAGATCCTAAATATTTCTTTATTTAGGATGATTTTGTCATATATATTTATCCCATTTTATTGATACCTATAAAGAGCAAATGCATCCTTGATAGACTAGACTATACAGTAAAATACATATTCATCGTATCTTCTGGAAATACTTTAGATTTCCTCTAGTAGATTTACAAAGGAATATCATAGGAATGTAAGTGGGCTTGCTTATTTGACAAATTCAGCTAATCAAAATATGCTTTTAATTTTCACCCAGAGAATGCTACCCCAGAGTGTCTTACACAGTGTATAGCATACCATTACAGGCCAACCGCATGGCTGAATGGACATGCCCCTTGCTGCTTACCCTGGCCATTGGCTCAAAATGAAAA